GTCAGTGTTATTATAGTGAGTCTCACCACAGGGGGTCAGTCAGTGTTGTTTTAAGTGAGTGTCACCATGGGTGGTCAGTCATTTTTATATTAGTGAATGTCACCACAGGCGGTCAGTCAGGTTTATTACAGAGAGCGTGATTGTTTTACTTTTTCAAACGTATTTTTCCTCGGGATATGGGCTCACCGGCAACTCTGTCGTTTATGCGAACCCATAATAGCCGAGACGACAGTTTCGGGTCAACCACATTGCTGTGTGTCTGCTTTAAGTTTTCGTCCATTTTGGGTAAGGGTGGGATATTTACTTTTCCTAAAGGAACATAGTGAATCAGATTCAGATTCATGGTCATTTTAGGCTCTGAACACCAGATTTTTATTGCAATCCAATTCCAGCAGCCGGCGTGTCGGGATTCGAATTCACTTCCGCAGTTCAGTACCCGGGTGTCTGGATTAACCGATAGCCCAGCGAGTGTCACCAAAGGGGGTCTCGTCAGCGTCGTTCTGGTGTTGTTCCCCACGGGGCGTGGCCAGTCCGTGCTATTCCCATGACCCTGGTCAATAGCAGTTATTGCAGCGAATATCGCCACAGGAGGTTCGGTGGTTGTTGTCGTGGTGACGCTGCGAGCTCTTTAACACTCAGTCTTTGAATGGGACACGTCACGTGTGTTTTCAGATTCCGCCTCCTCTTCCTGATGGACATCTGGCCTCCCCACTCACCGAATCGAAGACGCTATCTATCCCGCCTCCTCCTTGATAGACGGCCAGTTTCGCCATTGGGGTATGATATCTCAGGCGTTTGGCCAATGAGGGTGAGGGACGGGGACGGGGCGTGTTGCGCACGTGGTCCGTAGATGACGGCTTGTAGGGGCAGGACGGAGTGAGCGGTGTTTCTCCTGTTGGCGGCTGAGGTAACGTGCAAGGTATTGGCGTAATTCAGGCTCTCGGTCAATTGCGGGTGAGGGTGTGGGCAGTGCAAGCCGAAGTGTGACGATCCGGTTCTGGGGGTGTGTGCGCGTATTCATTGGAGTGGGTGTGGTGTACCGAGGAGGTGCGGCCCTACTCCCACTCCCGGGATCCTTTCCCCCTCTCCCCATTCCTTTTCGAGAAAGTTCACCTGGAGTTCGCTGCAGGTACTACAAGCGATGCACTCCTGATCGGCTCCTATTGCATTCCTGAACTGGTCTTACTGTGTTCCTGATCAGCTCCCGTTGCACTTCTGACTTGCTCTCATTGCATTCCTTGTCTATGCGCGTTGCACTCGTCATCTGCTTCTCTTGCACCCCCAACCTGCTTCCACTGTCCAGATGCCCTGGAGTCCAGATCTGCTTTTGATTCAATATTGTTCTTCTCCCGGTGCACAGTTGATCTGCTCCCAGTGGAATTTCTGTTCTTACTCACTCAAGTGCCCCTGGAGTGATCTAGAACTAATCCTGGTGTAATTCTGATGTGCTTCTCTTGCACTCCATATCTGGTGCCAGTGCAGTCCTGATCTATACCCGGTGCAGTCCTGCGTGGGTGCAGTTGTGGCCTGGTCCTTTCCTATTACTTCCCAATTGAATTCGGGTACAATCTTGATCTGCTGTCTAAGTCATATGTGTTGTTGGTGCAGTCCTGATGCAGACCTGGTATGGTTCTAGTTTTGATGCAGAACTGGACTGGTGCTTGTTCCGTCACAGCCTGGACCTAAGGTCATCCTGATCTGTTCCTGGAGTTGGTGCAGATGTGGCCTGGACCTGCTGCAGTCCTGGAGCCAGTACAGGCGTGACCTTGTCCAGGTGTTAATGCATCCTGATCTGACACCGTGCACCAGGATTGTCTTGGTGTAGTCCTGGATCTAGTGCAGATTTGTTGTTCAAGACCCAATCTGGCCCTTGTCCAGTCAATGTGGTGTGAATGGATTCCTTTCCTGATGCTGGTGTCAGTGTGTATCTGGTCTGAATTTTGGAGCAGTCTGAGATTAATCCAGTTCTTGTTTTGGTGCCGATATACTTTGGCCTTGATCTTAGCCCTGTTAAAGATGTCATGTTAGCCTGGCTCATGTTTGGCTTATAAATAGTCAATCATTCAGCCAGGTTGTTGTGGGAGGGTGTTAACAAAGATTCCAAGTGACAGTACCACCTTTCCTGACTGCCTCAGTGCTTACAGGCTGCATGTGTAACGTTGAGGATTGGCAGACCTGTAATTTCCTCCAATTCAACTGAAATCGGTGCCTTCAGACCTTGCCACAAACTCTTCTCCCTGTACCACTAATTCTAACTCCCTCCCTGACCACAGTCTGAGACTGAAGCCGCTGCTTTGCAGTCTTACTTTATCTTACCATTCCCCTACAACCTCAACTGCCCAGAAGCCCTTTATCACCAATACTATCTACAGTGCCCCCTCTGCCTATCATCTAAATTTTCCCCTGCTCATCTACTATTGTAGGCCTCATTCTCTGTAAACTGGGAAGGTGGGCAAAAATAGGCTTTCACTGTCACGGACTGCACAAAGTCTCATTTGCCCGTCAACACTGTGCTTGCTGATCTAGCCCGAGTCGTGACTGACCAGCCCTTGGAGGTTTAAAATTAGAATCACTGTGTCTTTGCACCACCCTCTCTCTCTCTGCAAAACTCCCACGAGTGTTGCAACAGCCCTGGAATACTTGGTGCTTTTAAGTCTTGTGTGCAGTTTTGACCTACCTATTTCTGGAACTGGGTTTGGGGGAGTCGGGGGTGAGCGAGTCACAGTCTAAGCTTACGGGGGTGGCCATTTAGAACAGAGATGAGAATTTTTTTTTTCACTGAGCCTCTGGAATTCTCTGCCACAAAAGTGGTTGAGGCCGAAATATTGGATGCTTTCAAGAAGTAGATGGATGGAGCTCTTCAGGCTAAAGGGATCCGTGGATCTGGGGAACCCAAAGAGTGATGGAGATGTGCCCATTGGATATTTTTAAGGCAGCAGGTGATACATTTTTGACTCACTTGTTAGTGAAGAATCTATCGGGAGTGGGAGGGCATGCAGAGTCGAGGCTGCAATCAGATTAGCTATGGTCGTATTGAAGGTCACCGCAGGCTGAAGGGGCCAAATGGCCTCATCATTTGTGCATTTTGACTTCTTTTCCCACTTTTTTTTTGCCACCTCGATCCCACTTTGTGGAATTCACTTCTTAAACCATAAAGCCTACTTATTTCTCTAGGTTACCCCACTTAATGGTTGCTATACTGTCTGTTTCCACCCTGTGTTTCATCACAGCACCATGGGGGAAGGTTTGTATGGAGAAATGCTTATTGCCTGAGAAGCTGAGACATAGGATTGTGTCTTCAGACCTGGATTCAGCCAGCAGAACGCACATGCCCCTGAATGCAGCTATCTTCAAATCCTACAGACATTGCTTATTTCCTGTCAGAGGAGTTGCTTTGAAACACTGATATGAATCTGTTTGCAAATTTGGCACCCGGTTCATCCCAGACATCTGGAATGGGAGGTGCTGGTGTACAGACAAGGGTTTTCAGCCAGCGGGTGGTGAATCTGTGGAATATGTGGCCGCAGCGGCTGTGGAGGCCAAGTCGTGGAGTGTATTTAAGACAGAAATAGATTCTTGATTAGTAAGGGGATCAGGGATATAGGGAGAAGGCCGAAGAGTGGTGTTGAGTAACATAGCAGCCGTTATTGCGAATCAGACTCGATAGGCTGAACAGCCTAATTCTACTCCCATATTTTATGGCCTGCAATGGAAATGTCACTGGACTAAAGGTTTGGGCTAATGTTGTGCGGACACGTTTTTATGTCCCACCAATTAGTGAGTAGTAATCTGCAATCAAAAGCTAGCCCAATGGTGATTGGTGTTCACTTCTGGTCTCCCTACTACAGGAAAGATGTTGTTCAAACTTGAGAGGGTTCAGAAAAGATTTACAAGGATGTTGCCGGGGTTGGAGGGTTTGAGCTATAGGGAGAAGCTGAATATTGGATGGGGTTATTTTCCTGGAGCTGACGCTCCAGGGAAGTTGAGGGGTGAGGTTTATAAAATCATGAGGGGCATGGATAGGGTGAATAGCTAATGTCTTTCCCCAGGATAGGGGAGTCCAAAACTAGAGGGGCATAGGTTTAAGGTGAGAGGGAAAAGATCTAAAAGGGATCTAAAGGGCAGCATTTTCCTGCAGAGGGTGGTGGCGTTTATGGAATGAGCTGCCAGAGGAAGTGGTTGGGGCTGGTATGATTACAACAGTCAAAAGGCATCTGGATGGGTACATGAATAGGAAGGGTTTAGAGATATGTGGGCCAAATGCTGGCAAATGGGACTAGATTAATTTAGGATATCTGGTTGGCATGGACTAGTTGGACCAAAGGGTCTGTTTCCGTGCTGTACAACTCTGACTCTAATTGTTGATTGTTGGAGGAAAAAAAAAAAATTCTCGCCCCTTTTGGGGAAGGAAACTTGGCAAGCTCCAGACACACAGCGACCTGGTTGACTCCTAAATGCCCTCTGAAATGGCTGAGGAACCACTCAGTGGTGCCAAGAGCTCTAAACAAAAGATCCAAATCTGGATGGAGCGCTGGAAATAACAATGGAAAACACAGCCCTGTCGACCTTATGTAACATCTGCCAAATGTGGGCCAATTCTCCCACAGATGGATTAAGCAACAGCCTGACACAAGACCTCTCCCTCAGTAACACCATGACCTGTACCAGGTAGAACAACAGGGGGAGCAGATACACGTGAATATTGCCCCCTTTGAGGCATGCACCATCCTGGCTTGGAAACATATTGGTCGTTCCTTTTACTGTGGCTGATTTCGACTCCAAGAACGAACCCCTCCACCCGACTGCACTGAGTGTAGCTGCACCACAGAGCAGCAGTTTAAGATAGTGGCAAGCTACCATCTTCTTGAGAGACAATTATGGATGGGTAATAAAGGCTGACTCTCCCAGCTACCCACGATTGAACTAAAATAAAAATTGATGCCTTTTCAAAGGCCCTGTTGCTATCTGATCATGCCATCTTCTCGGGTTAGTGCATTCCTGATCTTGAACACCTTTTCTCATCAGACAAGGGGATCAACCTTATCCGGGATGACAGGTGTAGGAGACTGAGGAGGCGATGGCCTAGTGATATTACCACTGGACTGTTAATCCAGTGAGCCAAAATATGTTTTAGGGATCTGGGTTCAAATCTTGCCATGGCAAATGGTGGAATTTGATTTCAATTTAAAAAAAAAACTCTCATGATGACCATGAATCCATTGTCAATTGTGGGGGAAAATCCTGTCTGGTTCACTAATGTCCTTTTTGGGAAGGAATCTGCCACCCTTACCAGGTCTGGCCTACATGTGACTCCCAGACCTAAAAATGTGGCTGACTCTTAACTTCCCTCTGGATAATTAGGAATGGGCATTAAATGCTGGCCTTCATCCCATGAATGAATTTTTAAAAAATTGAAGGTTCTGGGCAGAAAAGTGGGCGTGAGAAGTTCACATCAGCCATGATCTGGTTGAATGGTGGCTCAAGGGGCTGAATGGCCTACTCTTGTTCCTTCTATTTATGGTCTTATAGCTCTGTACCTGGACCTGGTGACATCACTGGACTAGATTGCATGCCTGGAATGTGACTTGAGCTTGCTACCATCTCTGAGGTGAAAGTGGCTTTTACTGGTGCCAAACTCACTTGGGTTTTCTCACAGGATGGATTACATGTGGTATCACAAGTGAACTGATTCCCCTGGGGGTGGGGAGAAAAGCTACAGCTCTCGGTTGTCTATGAAGGTCTCACAATGATTAGAAAGTGCAAAAGTATTGAGGAATAGTGGGGTTGGGGGGGTGGGGTGGAGAAAGAGAAGTTTTTTTTTGTTTAATCTGTTTGCAGTGAGTTAATTCTGAGCGTCAAGAGGGTCACATTAAGTTCAGTTCCTTGTTTGGATTTAATGCCCAGCTTTCAGATGAAGTT